TGGACGGGGCAGCGTGTTGTGTGGGTGTGGACAGGGCAGGTGGTGGGTGTGGACGGGGCAGGTGGTGGGTATGGATGGGGCAGGTGGTGGGTGTGGACGGGGCAGGTGGTGGGTGTGGACGGGGCAGCGTGTTGTGTGGGTGTGGACGGGGCAGGTGGTGGGTGGGTGTGGACGGGGCAGGTGGTGGGTGTGGACGGGGCAGGTGGTGGTGGGTGTGGACGGGGCAGCGTGTTGTGTGGGTGTGGACGGGGCAGGTGGTGGTGGGTGTGGACGGGGCAGGTGGTGGTGGGTGTGGACGGGGCAGCGTGTTGTGTGGGTGTGAACGGGGCAGGTGGTGGGTGTAGACGGGGCAGGTGGTGGGTGTGGACGGGGCAGGTGGTGGGTGTGGATGGGGCAGGTGGTGGTGGGTGTGGACGGGGCAGTGTGTTGTGTGGGTGTGGACGGGGCAGGTGGTGGTGGGTGTGGACGGGGCAGGTGGTGGTGGGTGTGGACGGGGCAGCGTGTTGTGTGGGTGTGGACGGGGCAGCGTGTTGTGTGGGTGTGGACGGGGCAGGTGGTGGGTGTGGACGGGGCAGCGTGTTGTGTGGGTGTGGACGGGGCAGGTGGTGGGTGTGGACAGAGCAGTTGGTGGGTGTGGACGGGGCAGGTGGTGGGTGTGGACGGGGCAGGTGGTGGTGGGTGTGGACGGGGCAGGTGGTGGTGGGTGTGGACGGGGCAGGTGGTGGTGGGTGTGGACGGGGCAGGTGGTGGGTGTGGACGGGGCAGCGTGTTGTGTGGGTGTGGACGGGGCAGCGTGTTGTGTGGTGTGGATGGGGCAGGTGGTGGTGGGTGTGGATAGCCTGGTGTGGTGGGGGTATGTGAATGTGGTGGCGTGGCCGGTAGGCGTGGATGCCGGTGCAGTGGGCATGCGTGGCTCTAGCGGCGTGGCTGCTGGGAAGGGGGCCTGCCCTGAGTTGAGCTCCATGTCAGACACCTGGCGAGAGGGAGTTAGTTTTCTAGACAGATGACGTCTGTCCAGACATTCCTGCCCCGGGAGGGAGCCGGGCCCAGGCGCTCCTCGTGGCCCCTTGGAGGGAACAGTCTGCAAGCACGGCCCTATGCGCACCTGATGGCAGAGCTGGCCGCAGCCGGGGTCTGGACCTGCTCCGGAGAGATGGGGCGGCCTTTGTGGATCCGATGTTTATTTGTAAAAGGTGGAGGCGATGACGTCACCGGCTAGC